AGAGATGGGTAAGTAATTGTATTGAAAAGGGTAAGTAAAGAAGACGTTGCGTGAGGAGTTAATCTCTCTCACGCTGAACTATTATATACAAGAGTAGAAGCATTTGCCAGCCGGAATTAATCGTAATCAATTCTTGCCAATATCTTCGCATTAACGGCTGTGATCTTGTCCTTCTCTTCATGACTCTCTTGTATCTCCTTACATGACTTTTTACACGACTAGTTGTATAGGCGAAGCTATTATTAAATTGATGGTTTTAATTAGCTACCCTTCATCTTATCACGAATTAATATTAGTATTAAAATTCTATTTACGGATCCGTGGAAATAATCCGGCACAGGTAGTATACCACTCATTCTTCCCTCTCGCCATAGAAATCCTTATTCACCTGGTGTCGACGGCTAAGAATAACCACCGAAGAGGTTGGACAGGGAAATGTCTCGGGTCAAAAATAGGGACTGTCCATACATACGTGGGTTATTTGTTTTGGTCAGTGCTTGCATTCTGTATTTAGAACTGCAGGTTATTCTATTCCTAGCGCATAACTATATATAGAGATCAAGAGATCAAGAGATCAAGTCGATCATGATCAGTGTCTATAGTCCTAGAGTTCCGGGAGAAATAGGAATTAAGTTGTTTTTTCTGAGTTATCTTTTACTTTAATTACCTACACTTCGCCTGTCAAAGGTCAGACTCCCAGTTACTCGGTACGTGGAGCTACAAAAACAAGGGCTCCATTCCCTCTCATAACTCAGATTCAGATCCCAAGGACGACTGAGGCTAGGATAGCTACAAGGTGTCTAGGTGTTGTGGTGGCCATCGTTATTGTTAAGTAGGCCTAGTTATAAAATCACTTGATGCAAGCGTCTTATGAACCGTCGTGATAGACTCTGCTGTTTAGAATGCAGGACATAATGAGATTCAAATATATGCATACGCTAGAATAAAACACTAGGCCACAGAGTGTGACCACCAAATCTAGCAAAGGCAGCAGCTTCAGCGACGAAAGTGAAGAGTCCTGACTCGAGTGAGAGGCCCAAGAAGCGGCTATTTCTCAGCCTCGAGACCTACCATTCCTACCAACTCCTACCCGCCAGCTGGTAAGCGATCAGCCGTATCACAAGTGCTCGGTACCCAGGTCAAAATGTAACGGTTTGTATATCTGGATCTTGAGATTGGGGCTGTTCGCTAATTAGTAATGGCTGTTGAAATGGGAGCTAGGGACAAAATGTCGTTGGTGACTTGGCATGTTGACACGTATATGGAAATCTTTGAAAAATAGAAAAGAAATAATCAGACAAATCTTCCACTTGTGCAAGCTTACTAATTTTCGATTACCGTGATACAATATATCACAATGGTCCACTGGCTCAAAACTGGCTCTGCTTTGACAGAAAAAGACGAGCTTTGAAGAGAAGAGTTTCTGGACTTCTCCACATTAAGGAGGTATCCAAAAATCACCTTGAAACCAGCATCGAACCTGATTTCCAACTTCCCGGTGACAGTTCGTACACTCTCTAGTCTCATAGTTGCGAACATCTAAATAGTTGGCGACGAATCGCGCGAGTGACTAAAATTGTTCTCTTTCGGGCTCGTCCTCATGGGACTCGGAAAATAGGGGCGTCCCATGGGAGTTGGCAAGTGCTATTTCACTGCTAATTCAATCCTCGGTCTTGATTCCGCCTGTTCGATGACTCAGGAGCTGTAAAGTTCTTCCGACCTAGCCGACTAATAAAACAATGCAAACGCTATCTTGTCTTTGACTCAACCTGCACACAAAAAATGCACTCAAAGGCCGAATGCAAGGATCTCACTAGATTTTGAAAGCGTGGGGTCTTCACCAGTCGGATTATCGAGACTGCCTGGCCAGAACAATGAAGAGTCAGTTCACAAACAAAGAACAACCTCGGGTGATTCGTGGAGTTGAGCAACTTATGTTTGCAGCAGCCTGTGCGAGAGCTGCAACCAAAAGAGTTGAAGGGGTAATCGTCGCTCCAGCTAAGAATGTGTCTGTGTCGGAGGGTTTGGGTTTCGGGGTTCTTGCCTCCGAGCAAGAAGTTTGAGGGTTCAATGTTTCTTATTAAAATCTTCTAGGCTCCAATAACATAGGGTAGGTAACTGGCTGGATCAAGGTTATCTGAGAACTCGTCTCTCGTTCCTATTGCAAAGGTGGAGAGCGATTGTGATGCGATGCTGATAGGGAATAGTATCAGTGGGCGAATAGAAGAGCATGAGTCTGGCAAAATATAGAAAATACTTTTCTATTCTTTGTAAAAAGATGTAATTGAATCGCAACTATCCATTAACTTCTTATCCCCATGCATGTGTCTGAAAGAATCGTAGCCGTTTCAACCTCGCTACACACGGCTTAGTCACTGCTACCAATTAACAATAATGGTTGCGGTCGTTAACCCGCTTATTTTAAACGCTCCCAATGGAGACAAGTAGAATTTACATGAAAGATGTGACAGGGAAGGAGAAGAGGACGAAGGCTGTACACCTGTTAGTGGTGTCCTCTACGAACCTGGGGGTGAAATTTTCTCCCAGAGCCGAGATTCAGTCACGACAAAGGGTGAATTTGAGAGTTCTCGTCGAGTTGGCGATCGGGAGAAGTGGTGTTGGCTCATTTTTGGTCGAAAATCCGACATGCAGAGATTTCACGACTGCACAACTCGACGAAATCAATCATCTACACCCCAGATACGAATCGCAGACAGCCATTAACCTGTCTGATGATCGTATTACAAAAACCCACACCTTCAACATCTTATTCTCTATTTCTCTGGAAAATCACTCCTAGCCAAACTCATCTCGCGGCCCTCTCCACAATCATCTCACCAGCTACCTAAGCAATCCCATACCTCCAAAAGCCAAATCGCCAATAAAGAAGCAAGAGGATGTCCGACCCTACACAACTGCTAGTCGCTGTGAAGGTACGGTCGAAATACCGGCCTTGAATGCGTCCTCACCTCGGCCAAGGGCACCAACAACTCGACCTGCGACGAATGGCCACCGACGAAATACGTACGACATTTCGCCGGCACACTAACCAAAGCGTTCGACAAAGGCTGGGGCACCGGTGCCCCGGTCTTGAGCTCTCAGTCGCGTATTCGACCTCCACTGTTAGGGGTACGGCAGCGACGGGACAAGGCCGGAGGGCTGGACATTCTACAAAGTTTCTGGGATGACGAGATCGACTGAAGGACAGAGGGATGCTGCATGAAGGAACAAAAGGGAATACAAACTGAGGAGGCCTTGGTGGGCGACTGGATGAGGCCTCCAGTGAAGAAAACGACCTCTGGATGAGATGAGGAGATGCTGAGATGAGCCAAGGCTGGGAATGAAGCGAAGGGAAAAGTTACAGATCGCGGAGGTGTCAAGGGCTCGGGCGCGTGGTGGCCGAGGCTGAGGAGGAATTTGCGCTTCGGCGCGCCAAAAGGGGGTTCTCTGGATGGTTGGGCTTGACATGATTCAACACATGGGTGAAGTCTGAGGTGGTCCGGCCATTTAGGTGGGACGAGGTAGATGTACTTAATGGTAGTTAACCTGATCCAGCCCGGCTCTACCCGTGCTTAAGCTCCAGTAGGAGTGCAACGGGAATCACTTTACCTAGCACGTAAATGAACAAGAGAACAGAGAAGGAGACGGTTGAGGAGCGCGGGATCCGTATCACCAATGAAAATCCTTTTAATTTCGATTCACGTGTTTACAGATGACTTCTCTTTTTACCCAGGTTCTCGCGGTGCGATCAAGTAGGAAAATTAATTGGATATGATTCTAGCCGACTCCGCGTGTCATCAACTCGAAAAATGAAGCGGGCGTAGCCTAGGACTCTAAACTACAAACAAGCATATAATCGATTGTGCCGCTATCTAGCCATAAAAGACACTCACTAAACGCCTTAGTCCCACGCCGAAAAACTACTGGTGCGTCCATTGGTGGGCTAAAACGCTACCTTCTTTCACATTCCAACTCCTGTAAAGTACATAGGATTGTGTCGAGAACCTATATGAAATGAGGATTCTATAAGCCCAGGACACCGTGTCTCCATTTTTGATGACAATCTCAATATTTTGACATTCTGTGCTGAACAGAAGACTAATATTTCGAAGAAGTAATGACGGTAGGTGATTGACGGGTTAGAAAAGGAGAAAATAATTCGTAGGAGGAATTGAATGCTGTAGAGGATAAGATTCCACCCACGTAGTCTGAACTAAATCCTTCTTAATTATCCGGAAAAAAGATGATCAAAACAAAGAAGAATTAATTTCATATTTATTAACTTGCTTAATAATGTTGCCAAAGTATAAAGAGCTCGAGCTTTCTAGGATTATTTGAATGATAGGTATTGCATAGTCTGGGGTTTTTCGTAGCTAGTAAATGAATTAATTCTTATAATTCATTAAAGAATGTTCCTTGCGGTCTCAAGACTTTACAGTCTAGACCAAGGAGTCGAATTGTGATTTGACAGGCAAGGACTACTACTTCCGCAGCTCCAAACTTTGTTTCGTATTGATTCAATCATGAAAATTTTTGACAATTGTGGCACCTCTTATCCTTCTTGGGGCATCTGGATCTTTGGTCTTTTTGATGATAACCTTGTTCCCTACAGCTCTTTTTTTAAAATAAAAAGCAACATGCGGGAGTGCGAGCTAGATATCTACCATCTGATGTCCTAACTGGCTTGAAAAAATATAGTTGTAGAAATGAGAATCAAGTCAGCCTATTTCCTCTTAAGGATCTCACCTTTAATATTGGAAGCTGAGTTCAATGTAATCCTACCAGTAAAATCACTGGCTTCCGGTAATTATTATTATTATTCATTATATTAATGTCCTTTCTCAGTCTATGAGTGCAACTGGCTTCCGATAGGTTTCTTGCATTAACGCGAAAACTAATTTTGATAATTATACACGCATTCTTTCCCAAAATAGACTCGATTTTGAATACGCAATCAATCACTTCACCTGACATTTCGCTACTTCGACCAGTCAATGGGCATGCGCAGCCCCAAAGGATTTGATGTTGCCAACAATGAGGCGAAAGATAGCCATGAAGTGTCCTTGCTATCACAACCGGAGCAGATGCAGTTGATTTTCCCCTTAATACAATCTGAAGGAAATGTGGGAAGTTTAGCGCCGATAAAAACTGTAGATATGATCTTAACTCATGACATCACAAGACTGAGGGATCAAACAGGCAATGAAGCTGGTGAAGAGGATGCGGAATACGAAGGAGATTCTGGATATGGGATTACCCTATATAACCGCCGAGGCGAAGGTCGAAGAAGCACTATGCTGCAGCGTCGGGATCGGCCCCGTGCAGCTCTGTTTCAAGAGCTGAAACCCTGTCTGCCTCGTCTATCTACCACCACCAACGAGTCGATTTCCTATTCTGACAGCACCAATCTCCGTCACAAGCCATTTTCGGACCTAATTGATGAGCTTCTGGAAGCGAATTATTCAAGCTCGGAAAAATCGGCCAATCTAAGCAGCCGCCCATCTCTCACCTCCTTGTCAGAGAGCTCAATAGCCTCATCATCCTGCAAACACTCACCAGTTCCTCTTAATTCCTGTGGGAACCCCTTAGAAGGCGTCGAAATCAGCCCAAGTACCCTCTATTCTACTCCTGGCCATAGACGTAAGTCTTCCGGCTACCTGGAAAAAGATTCAAGTACCTACGTGTATCCCCTGAAGCAAGCCAGTGGACTCACCCCAATTAAACCGTCTTCCATTCCTTGTAGTCGTCCAGTCCTTCGTAGCGCTACCAAATATCGAACTTTCTCAAATCCTCAAGCTTCGTCGCACTTTGGAACCAAAAGGGTCTCGAGCACACCAAGGCGAACACCAGTCTCTTCCTGCTCCTCATATAGTGAGTCACATGAAATACCCGGATTCGAGGACAAACAGCCTCATTTTATGCATAATAGCTACTACAACAATATATCCAGTCTCAAACTTAAGAATTCCGAGTGTACCGGCATGTCTAACCAAAGCACTACGGAAGAGCGTCAGAGAATAATCAGCAATAATCGATCTATACGGGTCATCAAAAACGTAAATCATTCATCTTTTTCTCTTTAACTCTTCTGATCATTCGCAATTTAGGAGTTAGAGAGTCTACTCGAAAGAGAGGCTATTAGCGATGACGCGTACGAGAGTATAATGTCTACTCTTCCCGCCGAGTTATCCTTAAATGGAACGACGGGGGTCCGGAATGCAGCCAAAGCCAATGTATCTGCGACGCCTGCAGCCTCAAATACACCAGTCAATGTAACAACTAATGCTATGAACAGTCTTCAACTTGGCAATAACAACCAGTCATCTACTCCCTCCCTTCCTAGGCGGGATCCTGTTACCCCGCCAGTCAGACCCGAGCTAACGCGCGCTATGGCACTCTACCGATATGCCGAACCCGGGGACTGCAACTTTGAAGCCGGTGATATGATCGCCGTCTATGAGTACATGAATACCGATTGGTGGCTGGGAAAGAATCTGAGGACAGGGCAGGAGGGTGTCTTTCCCCACAATTACGTACAAGTCCAACCTATCGCCGGGCCAGGGATGTACAGTAACGAGAAGGCCAATACTTATGGAAATGGATATCCTGGACCTTACCAAGCTCAGGCCATGCCACCACCTGCGTCATCTAATCCGTATAATAGTTCTGTGCCTCCGATGCAGGTTGCAGAGCAGCAGACAACCGATGGCAAGCCAAGTAAGGGCGGGGAGATGGGTAAGAAAATAGGAAAAAAGCTAGGGAATGCGGCTATCTTTGGTGCTGGTGCCACAATGGGAGGAAACCTTGTCAACTCAATTTTTTAGAGGGAAGCCGGGACCAAAATTTTACGGGTTTGTATTACAGTTTGATATTAAGGCTTCTCAAGCTCCTAACTTTATTGTATTCCTAGCGGAGAAAGTATAGTATATGTAATTGGATATGATAAGATGGCATTGATTAGATTTAGTTAATAATAAACCGATCATAGAATCAAAATCTTGGTAAGCTGGTCCCTGAGATTATCCTAGCAGAAGATTTTCTATTGGGGTGTAGTTTGTTCGCTGTTACATCTTTAAAAGCCCTGTTCAGATATAAGAGCGGTCACTCAGGACATCTCTTCGGCTGTAAGTAACCATTAATTTATGAGATTCTAAGAACGATCTTCTCCAGAGTATATTCATGAGCAAATATCCCAGGAGTTAAGTGAAGAATCACGCTGTTCAATTTGTCACAAGGCTCAAATACACGCCCCATATTAGACCAGCAAGGCTTGCGAAACGAGTGCGAGCAGGCACACTCGAGAAGCCAAAATATGAGGCGGCACTTACGAAAGGCCAGAATGACCAGCCAGCAATGATTAGTGGCCAGAATTCATTGTAGGCAATTTCTGTGGCAGTGAAAGAGCTGGCGCCGCGTAGACGTGCCAATATGTAAGAGTAAGCGATGGTGTTGAGTGCAGCGCCGACTGACTGATCGATTGCGAGCTTGGCTAGGGTTGGGGTTAGGGCGATCCGATGGCGGGAAGTGGGCAGGGCGGCTTCGAGGGCGCATTGCCTAGAAGACATGGGTTAGTGACGGCAGTCTGAGGAGGGGGCATGAGCTTGCGCGTACCATAGATAATTGGGCGGAGTGGTAATTGCCGTCAGGAGCAAGAAACGCGAAAAGTTCAGCCAGTCAAAGGTCAAGCCAGCCTGGCGGCGAAGTCAGCGGCGTGTGAAGAGACGATGCGACTATTAACTTGCCTGGTCACGGTGCATGCGGATGGCCTGGGCAATGAGATTGCTAACAGCGCCAATGAGACAGCTCTGTGCCGTAATCCAGAAAATTGGCGGGGTCATGATGTGTGCAGAAGGTGGGGCGCGAGAGAGAGTAGCGGTACAGGCCAGCGAAGGAGTGAGAGGGGTTTTGAGCGGGTCGGGCTTATCAACTTATCTTTCCAAGCTACAGCTGCAGGCTCTCCGACGCATCACCTCGCGCCGTTCCCGGATTATTTCGTAATGAATGGCACTCGGCAAAGCGAGCCAAGCCTGCTCAGAATTCGACGTCAAACTGATCGGCCCTCTTACTTCTCTCTACCTAATCCAACTCCGCATTTCCCCGATCAGGAGGGCAAAAATTGAAGACGTGCCCACTACGAACCTGGGCCTCAAATATTTTCCCGGAGCCAGCTTTAGTCAAATTTGCAATACCAAAAAAGTTCGCCCACGAGGCCATTATTATTATCATTTCTTCGACTGTCTTGTCAGCCTACAGGCCAAGGATACCTATCTAGTAGTACCACCCCTCACAAGTCATTTGATCAAACGCTTAGAAGAGCCCTCTCACGAGACAATGATAATATACTACATACTAAATGAATGTTGCACTCCCAGAAAGATGCACTGCGACCAAAGCTTCATCAAGTCTGCAAGCATGAATCAGTGCATCCTCGTTTCAGTGACCCTACCCAGAGGAGACAAATCTGGATTACAGATATTCTCGCCGGGCATGAGAGATCCCGGGACAGGAAGTCAAGAAAAGACTAAAAATGGATACAATCTTGGAAGGTGTGTTATTTCAAATTTTGGAAAGGAATCCTTCACATTAAGCACAATTTGCTAAACGACTTCGCTTGCGAGAGTGGAGGCGATACTATAAACACTGTCATGGCTGGGTGGCGCAGTGGTACATCGTCTGAGGTGATCTGCCAAATATAGACTGGGTGCCTTGAAGACTTAGCCTACTTGAGACAGAAGACAGCTGGTTCACACACAGCCAAACTCTCCCATATTTTTCGTTGTGGGCGTACGTATGGATGAAGATAGGTCATTGAATACTCCCATTGATGGGTACTCACTGAGGAGGTTCTTGAAGTCCCGAAGCTGTGAGCACTAGTTGGATATCTTGCGACGCCCTTGTAAACATGTCTTGTCATAAAATCTTGCATGTTCTTTGTATTCGTCTCCATACGGTGATTGGCCCTCCTCGGATTCTGTGCGGTGTGGAATATTATTTACACTAATTCCGCGACCAGAATACTACATCCGTCTCCTTCAGGCCGATAGTCTACTAAGTTCAATTCAACACATCTTTGATCCTGACCCAGAGTCAAGATTGATGTGAAATATTGTCCCTGGTTAAATTAATCACCATCTTTCATGTATATCTCAATATCTATGTGAACATTAACGACGCATTCAAAACTAGACCACGATTATTAGAGCGAGGGTTGTATATATATATTCATTCTTGAAGTCCTCTATAGCCTTAGGTTAAGAGAGAACTCCGATAAAATTATTTTTCTTGTATTGTTTGTGTTAAAAGTTACCGTTGTTGAAGTTACCATAGTTGAGGTGGTTATGGTGAAAGAGGGCGATATGTGCAGCTACAATAAAGTATAATGACCCTGATCAGACTAGCAGTATATTCCGTTAAATTTCCGGTTTGCCTCAGGCATGTACCAAGAACATGTAGTATATAGATTAGTCGTTGTAGATAGACGGGTGGGTATCGAAGGGTTGGAAGCTGATTCGAAAGCCCATCATTATTATTATATGACCTTTACATACGACTCAGACTGAGACTACTATATCCGTCCTCTGTTGATTACGGCCACGCTCAGAGATATCCGAGACGTCCATCTAAATTTACAACAATTTGTATTCAACAAAAGCTATGACGAATGAAAGTTGATTTGCGATCATATTATATGTGTATCTTGGATTTTGAGACGCTCATATTCTGTATTTCCTCTGCAAAACGCTTTGAGATATGCTTGCTTACCCAAAAAGTCAACCCTCCTCTGTGAGTACCCATCATTGGGAAATTCAAAACTTGAACTATCCAAGCGTGGCTACGTCTTTCATACAGACTAATATCGCAAAGAGCTTGTTCGTGCTTTGCCGGGCTCGAAACGGCGATCTCCAGTCTCGACTGGGACATATATCCAAGCCATCCGGACTCTACTTGGGAGACCTACCTAGATGATATACCTGTCAGGTAACTCGGAGCCTAGCCTGTGACAGGCGAAGTGTATGTAATTGAAGTAAAAGATAACTCAGTAAAAACAACTTAATTCCTATTTCTCCCGGAATTCTAGGACTATGGACACTGATCATGATTGACTTAATCTCTTGATCTCTAAATATGGACATGCGCTAGGAATAGAATAACCTGCAGCTCTAAATACAGAATGCAAGCACTGACCGAAACAAACAACTCACGTACGTATGGACAGGCCCTTATTTGGGCGCGAGACATTTCCCTGTCCAGCTTCTTTGGTGGTTATTCTTAGCCTTCGACAATACCACTGCACCATCCAGCCATGACAGTGTTTACAGTGTCTTTATGTATTACACTTCTGGAACTGATACATGAGCAATCAGAAATACAAAGGTAAATTATAATTATACATGGCCATCTACTTGAATTGTTGTTTGTATGTTTTCTACTTTTCGTCCGTCGGGGCGCCAAGCTTAACTTAGGTCCCTACTACCCACTAAAATACCTAGAGGCATGGACGCCAGTGCTTACTGCCCTGGTGGCTTTGCCCTTGCTACTTCCTAACTAGGTTTGCAGGGCAGTTCTCTAATTACATGATTGCGTTTAGCATAGCACCTGCACTTTTTCAGCCAGTCCCCGAGGCTCTTTACTCATTTGATGTATGACAACCACTCTCGAGATACTACTAATAGATCCATTCGTAAATACCGCACCATCCATCCATAATGCAAGGCTCAGAGTTGGGGCACTACTTGAATTGTACTTCGACTATTTATACATTTGCTAGAACATCTAGAGCTAGCGTGTCACGTGATAAGAATCACGTGCTACGGGGCAATTGTCGGCTCACTAGCAGGTGCACAATCACTCTCCCTCGCCTCTACGGGACGATAAATCAAAACAAGCAATACTGCCTCGAACTAGTTCCGACCGAGGCCGTAATCCTGTCCCAGGATAATGAAACAAATCCAGACAGCCCAGATAAAACCTGGATTTTCAGCTTTCCTCAAGACCATACCCGTCTTTCACGCATTCTCTATCTCGTTGGGTGCTGCACCGCACCGTCACCCGATTACTTTCTTAACGCTCGTCGGTAGTACAGTGTGTGTTTGTGTTTATTGTGCTACTTGAGTCTATGACTATCTAGCACATTGGGCTTCTCTCTGACCCAGGCCACACCTTGTACAGTGCTCCTTGCCTCTTTTGTTACTCGAAAGATCATTGATATATTCCCCTTGATGAAAAGCCATTCAGCTCAGTATTTACCCGTGGAATTCGGCCACCTTTTCCACGGAACCTTCTACCCAAATAAATAAAAAAGGTAGCATGGAAACTGCGTGCGAGGGAAAAAGTCTCACAAAAACCTGCAGCCCCAGCCAGGCGAGGCCTAGACACCGGGACCACATGAGGTGCGCATATTCATCTATGTCTCCCTTCTTTGTAACAGTCGAGGCCGACTTGATCCAATCCGCCATCTCCGTATCGGGTGCTGGGTACGCTCCGGAAACTCATCGGGTGGCTTTTCCTCCGTGATCAAGGTTTGGTGATGAGTAGAGCTCCGACCCTACCATCTGATCTGATCGTGGTTAGCTTCATGATAATTGTGATAGGGGAATGTGTTGAGTGATGAAGACGATACAGACGGCGAAAGCGATTGGGAATCCTCGTCGAAGTGAGGACTTTGTTACTCAATCTCGGCTCTACAGACTCTACAGTGAGAGCTGGAGGTTCGTAGGGGACACCGCTGACAGGTGTTGAGAATAGTCCCCCTCGGTAGTACAGTGCAGGACGTGCTGGTTATGGCACAACAGCTGCGCTTTTTCCTCTGCCCTAAAATGCCGCC